ACTCGCTCATCCATCTCGCGCCTTACATCCTTATCTCGTTCCGCGCCTGGTATGCGGTCAGCGTCTTCATTCTTCAAGCGGAAACACCAGAAATCTCATACAAGCACACGCAAACCTTACTCTACAAGCCAAAATGCATCTAACAACCCAATCGACACGTGGTGTTGTATACCCGCCCACGTTCCGAAACCCCTTCCCCCCGTGCCTCAGCAAGAGCCTGAAGGCATCCATGTGGACGGGCTCCACATACAATTTGCCACGCCCCCATACGATCCGCGTGCATCATCCCGAAGCCGACTTGTGCGTCTGCAAAAGACGATTACTAGCGCAGTTGTCGAGGCAGGCATGGATACTCCCTCCTCACTCGAGGAGCAGACGGATGTCTCAACAAACGTTCCTGGTCATCGTACTCGCGACACACTGTTCCGCGGGACATATGGCCAGGTCATGGTCGCTCTCAAAGCAGCAGGCCTTGTTGCGACGCCATGTATGGAGGGCGATATTTCAGGTGGTGCGCAATCACGCCATATGAACATCTCTCTTTTGTCTCATTTATCATTAGCTACGCGTTTGGGCGCGCTTTTTGTTGCACATAGATCCTCAGAGGAGCGGAACGTACAGCTAAGAAAGTTGACACTATGGGGCTAGCTGCCGGTCAGAATGTAACCCCTGAACATGCGCTAATTATGCCCCTCGGACGATGTTAAATCTACCATCGAGGAATATCTTGATATTCGGCCAAATCCCTGACTCTCACGAAATCCCATACTGGCGATCCAAGTTCGTTCGTCCAAATCTGAATTGTCCGTCCATCGCAGATACATTTATTTATACCCCACTTGGAGGGGCACTCATACTCCGAGTTCAGAAGCGAGAGTTATTGTCTCCACCTTATCTCTATTATCGACATCCACTACAGAAGCCATGTCTTCTGCTTCCAATTCTCATGTGCCTCTATTCATCCTCGGAGCAGGGGTGACCTCGCCCACATTGTTGCTTATAGCCCAGATGTGACTTTTAATATCACGATCATTTCCTGGGAATTGGGGTTCTGAAGCCTGGGCAAGTCCATTCGCTGTTTTTTTCTTTTGAGCATCCTTGAAGTCCTTTCTTACATCAATCTTATCTAGGGTGCGAATTGGTCTTTAATGTCATTGAGTGCCACAGACGAGCGTGTGCGAAGATAGGAGCAGACAACCTTGTGAGAGGCACCTCGTTAATGATGCGATGTTTACGGAGAAGGTTTTTCAGTGATAGGTTATGGGAAATGATACCGCCGGGCCTAGTCAAGTTGATCTTGATCGCACGCACCTCGACCGGCGCACAGGGGGTTCTAGAAGTTACCCTTTAGGGTGTTTGCAGAGATGGTTGATATTACGGAAAGACCTTGTATACGATGTACGTATTTTTTTCTTGCTGTTCTTTAGACACCAGAAAGAATTCTGGTTCAGCTTGCTCTCAGATTTTCCAATTCTTGCACCATACAAATTGGAAATGATTATGATATAGTCTGCGTCAACCCATTTGAATATCTACCATGGCTTCGATCAGAACTCGGGATTACTATTCAATATTCCGCCGCGATCGCAGTTTGGAAAACCGGGCTGTTGGTTGATGCACATCTCTCAGTAAGCACACGCCAGTTGTCCTTCGATAGTCATTGACGGCCGGACTCAAAGGTCCACGGTCGGAATAGAAGATACAGCCCTTTTTCCCATCAGGGGATAATCTATTATAGTCGAAGGAAATGGCCTCAGTAGAGCACTGTCTGTTCAGTCACATCAACGGTCATACCATCCTGACTTGCAGTTGTGCGTAGGTGCCGGGCTGTTGGAACATGTGGCATCTATCATTCGCCCTGGAATGATCGAAGTGAATGCTGCGCTTCTAAATGGAACCTAACAAACAGGAACATCTCCTTGGATATGTCGGTTTCAAAGTGATGTTTGAGCGGTACTCCGCGCTGGAGCCATGTCTAAAAGAAGGGAAGAAGAACGTGAGGCACTCTGTCGGCCTTAGGCCTGACAGGGCGGGCAGTCCACGTGTGGATGTCGAACGGATCTTGTTTCCTCTCAGACAAAGCGGCGAGCTAGCTCCATGCGTGATCGAGAATGCAGGAGATACCGGTGGTTCATGTGCATGGAATTGAGTGAGATAACTATTCAAGATTCGTACGAGATCTGACTTTTAGTTCCAGAGCCACAAGCTACTGAAGATCCGAGGTTCTATCTTTACTGGAGAACATGCAGGCTCAGGCAATCTGCTAATCATAAATATAAATTTTGTTACCAACACTATTCTGGTACTAGCTTTTTATCTGGGCCTGTCTCGTTCAAGTTAACAAATACACGGTACTTACTGGACACCTGGGTCATTTAGCTATTGTGTTACTCTCCATGAATCCCTCAGCTTCAATTTGAGCCGGGCTCACCCTGTTTCATGAGATCACTGGTAAAGATGTACCAGAGATCATACGAAACGCATGTTTCCCATGCCATGATGCCATCCGAGTTATCCTACGGATATTGATGTGATTCGGACGCACCAACGCCAGCCAGTGCCTTGTTAACGCCATTTCCCCCCTCGGACTGATGCATAGTGGTTGCTTCCTGAGGGTCCCAGTCACGACAGAGGTTTTACCTTTTCTGCCAAGAGCTGGAAGTGCACGTTGAGCTAAGTAAGTGCCAGGGATCCAGATTTCGCGCAGCTGACCATCTCGCTTATACGCTGGCAGTAATTCTTGCTCGGCCCTTGCAACTTGAATCTAATCAATTGCTGTTACAGTTATGCTGGTCATAGTAAAGTCAAACGAAGCGGAAGACCTCTCGCTTATCATGAGTCCGGCCCGTCCAGACCGAGAATGGGATAACAGACTCGGATGCCCGATGGGTCCGATGCCAATGAAAGTATAGGCTGGATAGCGACAACTTCGAACTCGGATCAGTCAGCTGATCAGGGTCGTATTAGCCCTGGCCAGTGAGTTTGTCATCGTTGTGTCAGGTGCTAAAAGTCTAGTAGCACCCTTACTACTATCAACGATGTCTTCCACGAAGGCAGAGCAGTCTCTCGTCGTCCTCGGAGCAGGTGTACTTGGGCTAACGATTGCGTACCTCGCCGCCTTGGCAGACGATGTCTCATTTAATATTAGGGTGATCGCTAGGGAACTTCCTGAAGACATGGATTCTCAAGCTTGGGCTAGTCCGTACGCTGTACGTTTTGTTCATAATGTTATAAGTCTGCCAGCTTCTAGATGACAACCAGGGTGCTAATTGGTTTCCCATGGAACTTGGAGGCAGAGATAAACGAGTGAGGAAGTGGGAGGAGAAAACTTTGTATGTGTGATTTTTTACTGTGAGATGCATGTTAGCTGATCCTCAACCAAGTAACAAGTTATGGGACATGATCCCAACAGGGTTGGTTAAGGTTAGTTAGTCTAAACACCTACAGTCATCCTTGGTCGTGAGTAAGGAGCCACCCAGCTATTACCCACGAAGCTTTATACCACGCGAGGGCAAGATATTTCAGACTTGTGGTGGAAAGACCTTGCGCGGAATGTATGTAGTTTATCTCATGACTGTGGTCACCGGGGATTGAACCACACTGTGAGGGCAGATCAGGATACTTTCCCCCTCTGATGTCCCTGAGCCATTCAAAGCTGGAGTCGCATTCGACACAGTTTCAGTTAATCCAGCCGAATATCTTCCGTGGCTCCAATCCGAGCTGGTCTCCTACGGAGTCACCTTTGAACGCAGAAACGTGAGGAGTTTGGACGAGTTGAGGAGCCTGGTGGGGCCTAATGGTATTCTGGTGAATGCGTCTGCACTTGGTAAGGGATTTCTTTCGGAAGTCAGTCTCGTAATATCAGTCCAAAGGTTCCAGATCCATTATCGGAGTGGAAGACACGAAGCTATACCCCATTCGCGGACAAACGATCCTAGTACATGCACCAGGTCTGCAGGAATGTTTGTTGGCCGAGTCCGAAGTAGGTGCGTATTCGGAATGAGCAGTGGTAATTAGCTCCTCATCAAAGCACTGCGGTCCAAAAGCCGAGGAAGCTACATACATCATTCCCCGTCCTGGCAAAGGTCAATCTGACACCGCAATCCTCGGTGGGACATTCCAGTCCAGGAATTGGGACACCTCTTTAGATATGCAGATTGCGAGAGGAATATTTGATCGCTGCGCCGCATTGGCTCCTTATTTAAAGAGTGCCGAGTCGAGAATCCTGAAACATAATGTTGGCCTAAGACCTGCAAGAGAAGGAGGACCACGAGTCGAGCTGGAGCGGATCGCGATGCCCTTGCAGAGCACGCATGACCTTATTCCGTGGAATGGGAGTCCCACCAGTGACCATGACTGCGAACAGTCGATGCTCGTTGTACATGCCTATGGTTTTGGGTAAGCCGTTCTCTAGAAAGTTTGAATGCGATTCCCTAATAACACACCTTTACAAGACCGGCAGGTTTCCAGGGCTCTTGGGGTGCTGCAGAAGAAGTACTGGAATTGATGAAGACCCAAGTTGCTTTGAAACATGATACTTAGATTTCCGCTACCGGTCTTATAGTGTCAATTTCCGCGCCCCCTCTGAATTTTTTTTCGCAAGTTTCCCCTAGCCATATATATCGAAGGAAGATAAATATTCTTTTGTATTAAGATCAGGCAAGTCAAAACAACATTTGTTGTGCTGGGAAAATAGGAAATGGACATACTCACGCAAATCTACGAAGTGTGAACGGCACAAGCTCGCGCACCACAAGACCATGGAATGTTATGTTACTAACTCCGAGGGGCACAACAGAGTAAGTTGGACAGATGCACACAGTCATAACAGCCTGAGAGTCAACAAATCACGTGGAAACTTCAAAGTTCAAGTTGAGGCCATTTCTAAAACACGATCACGTGACACGGCGCGTCGGTTTGTTGGACTGTGTTTGGTTTCTGTGCTTTACGGCGTGGTCCTGCCACCTGGAATACTTTCGTAGTGTTCGACCACAATAGTCATGTCCCTCAAGGACATCGGAAAGTACGATGTATCTGAAGAGGCGCAAGCTCTCAAAGATAAATTAGCAAGCCAAGGTGCGTTTTGAGCGTGTAATTTAACAATCTTTCCTAACTTGCTGCTCAGACACTGAGAATGCAGGCCTACGAAGCCGCCTAATGAAGAGAGAGGCCGAGCTAGAGGAGTTAAAGACATCGTTAAATGAAACATTGTACAAGGTCATTTTGACTTCCGTCTACTTGATCATCCAAGTCCACTCACTTCCTAGCTCAACAGCTCAGCACCGAGGCCGATCGTGCTCTCAGGCTTGAAAGCGATCTGGCGCGGCGCTCAGACGAACTCAAGATCGAGAAAATGGCTTCTAGGAATGGAGAAGCTGCACTTTTTGCTGCGCAGGATAGACTGAAAGCTGAAGAACGAGCAGCACGAGAGCTCGAGGCAACGCTTGACACCATGTCTTGCCAGTCCGAGTCAGTCAGGGCTCAAACTTTTAAACTGGAGACAGAGAAGCGAAATATGGAGTCTCGCGTGCGTGAGCTAGAGAGGATGTTGGAAAGTACAAAACCCCAGCCAACAGCTAACTCTCGATTGCCGCAGCGAAATGGGAGGCCTCGGTCTTCCTCTGTGTCTAGTTTCAGATCACCAGCATTGGAACAAGAACTCAACGATACCAAAATTCTCCTGGCGGATAAAGAGAAGGCCTTGCGCGACATGGAAATGAAACTCACTCGAGCTCAGGAAGACCTTGTCAAGACACAGAATACGCAATTTTCAGTGGAGAAGGCTATGCAGGCCCGTATCGCGGAGCTCGTATCAGTAATAGAGGACAAGAATGAGGAGCTGGAGGTGCTGAAATCAAGTCAGGGCGCGGGGAACGCAATGGAGAGGGAGGAAGAGTTGGTGAAGAGGATCGACGAAGATGAAGTGAAGATAAAGACATTGGAAAGCCTCCTACGCGAGCAGCAGAGTGGACCCACACAAGCAACGTATGATAAGCTGCAAAGAAGGCTACGTGCTGAATCGGAGAAGCTTACCAGCTCAGAGAAGAGATTGCGAGACCTGATGGAGGAGAAAAAGGAAGCACAAGACGCATGCACTAATACTCGCCAGGAGCTGGACAGAACGGATCGGCTTCTCCAGGACAGCAAGGAGCGTATTAGAGCTATGACGGTCATTGAGAGGTATGCTATGCTTGGCCACCAGCCCGATAGATTGCTGATATTGAACTAGTGGATTAAAACAAGAGATTATGGACCTTCGGAGCAATGAGGAGTCAGCGCGGCGTTCGACGGCCACTGACCAGGACCATATGGATATCGATGTTGACGACACCCAATCCAACTTCGACAGCAGCTTCCTGTACCCAAATTGCTCTACTCCATTGCCTCCGGCCAAGGCCAACCTTTCTGCTCACCCCGGTGAAGCAACGCTCGCCAATTACATCGAAACATTGCTCGCCGCTGTAGACAGAATACGAAGCGAGCGAGATGACCTACGACGCACCCTCGAATTCTCCTCGACCGAGGCTCGAATCACAGTCCAAACATTGGAGAAGCGCATCCACGAGCTCACACAGGAGGCGGATGGGGCTTCGGCCTACAATCGGCGGAACAAACGTCTTGTCCTTTTCATCACAGCCCTGGGCGTCGTTGTGAATCACCTACGCAGTCGTTTGCATGCTGCTGAGCAAAACCAAGTCCTGGACCACTCCCAATTAGTCGCAGAACGAGATGCCATGTTACGAGACCTTCAAAGCAAGTTCGAGGTCTCGTGCCAGCAGTTGACCGTATCGGAAGAGTCGCGTAATCACCTGCTCCTACTGGTCACAGAGCTGGAAGCCAAAGTTCAATCTCTGGCTGCCGAAGTACAGGCAGCGGAGTCATCTCACGAGGATACCCGCGATGCGCTCCAGCGAGCAGAGGAACAATTAGTTGACCTTACAAGAACGTATCAGAACATCGAATCCGAACGTAATTCACTCAGCCTCCAAGTCACAAATCTCCAAACAGACTTGGAGGCTGCACAGGAAGAATTAACGGGCGCTCATGTCCGCTATAGCGCTCTGCAAGCGCAACAGTTATCCACCATGTCAGCGACTGGGGTAGCTCACGCGCTTCGTGAACAGATACAGGAACTTGAAGGTCGTGTCAACCGCCGCACGGAGCAGATCGGCGTTCACCAACATGACATTCGCCGCCTGGAGACCAACCTCAAACTCCAGGAGGAACGGATCTCGGAGATGATGTCGGAGCTGGAGATGATGTCCGCGCAGAAGGAAGCAATGGTTGAAGACTGTGCAGAAGCTAGAGATGCTCGCGACCAAGCTGTCAGCAACCTCGAGGCAGCAGAGCTTGAGGTGGAAAAGTTGCAGGACGAGAACGACAATCTCAAAGCGACCCATGACGGTGAGCTATCCTCTATGGTAGCCATCGTGGCCAAAGCGATGTCGAATGCTCGCTGCGCCCAAAGCATGGTCGACCAGCACCTCATCAACGAACCGCAGATGTTATCCAAGATAGCCGTCCTTGAGGTCCATAACTCGAAGCTCTCTGAAGATATACGAGTGCTTGCTGGCGAGAAAGAAGTGCTTATTCGAGACTTGGCAGAGAGCGTCGCATCACAGAGTTGTCTTGAAGCTCTCCGGACAGAAGAACATGCCGAAATGGGTCAGCTAGTGGTCTCGCTTGCGACTGTACACGAGGAATTGAGCAACAGCGACTGCAATTTGGAGAAGTCTCGTCAAGAGGTTGCAGCTTTACAAGCTCAACTTTCATCTTTCCGCTGCGCACTCGAAGATAAAGCAGCCACTTTAGAAGTTCGCGATGCAAAGCTGGCCATTCTTGAGCAAAGTCTCGCTGAGATATCCAATGAGTCAGCCGCTGCTTTGACTCGTCGCATTTCGGAATATGAAGGACAGCTGCAGTCATTGCACGACGAACTCGATGAACTTCGCTCCCGCCATCAGATCACCTGCAAAACCTTGACTAGAGCTCAGGACGACCTTCAGGAACGCATTCAGGCGTCGCAAGCTGGCGAGAATAGCGCCGAGCTACAAGATCTGCATGCTCGCCATGCTGTCGAGGTCGGGGACTTACAAGAGCGCGTCAAGCACACGGACCAAGAGCTCTCACAAGCTACGCAGCTTTTACAAAGTGCCGACCTTCGCTTTGCAGAAGTGCAGCAATGCAATCGAGAATTGAAGAATCAGATCGCAGCTCTCACGGACGACGCACAGAGAAGAGCCGTGACGGAGGACTCTCTACGTGCCAGACATGTTGAAGAACTTGATGTACTACAGAAGACGCTTTCCAACACCCAGAACGAACTCGCTGCTGCCAAAGAGGAATGCCAGCATCTTGCAAGTCTCGTGGAACAGTCAACTGGCGAACTCAAATTAGCAAAGCAAACTCACATTGACGCTCTGCGACAAGCAGAGCAACAGATCCACGAATTGCAGGACGATCGGGTGAAAAAAGTTGCTGTTCTCGAAGCCAATGAAAAAGATCTTCAAGACTTCCGTATGAACCTTGACGAACGATCCCGGGAGCATGATTTGCTGCGCACACAGTTACAGAATGAGATCGCCAGTCGCAAGCAAGATCAAGCAGCTTTCAATGACCAGCTCTCTTCTCATGCAGATTGTCAAGCCAAATTTGATGCTCTCGAAACAGAACTTCGACAGGCGAATGAGCAGGCTGAAGCTGAGTTATCGAGTCTGCTGGCAGAGAAACAATCGCTGCAAGTAGAGAACACCAGCTTGGAAGCAGAGATTCAGCGCTCGATGTCGTTAACGAGATATCTGGAGCAACAAGTACGGGAGAGGTAAGTAGGCTCGCCATTTTCACAGGCACAAAGTTGACAAGCAATGAACAGTGAAATATCTAATTCCTCCCTCAAGGAGACCCTCGAACAGGTACAGCTTCGACTCGCTCAGTCTGAAAAGGCGGGCAAAGCGGCCGAACTTAGCCTTGCACTCCAAACAACACAACACGAGAAGGCAATATCATCCCTCCGGTGGGAGTTGGACGCGGTCCGTTCGGAACCAAAACTTCATGACGTTGTCGCTGAATTGGAAGAGAGAACTCGCGAAATGGATCAGCTATTGCAAAGCAAGTGTGCTGAAATTGAAGACTATGACGATCGGATATTGGAGCAAGTGAATTCGCTTGCAGTTCCCTCACATAAACTAACGTTATGACAGAGCTTTGAAGGCGAACAAGAAATTGTCTACGAAAGTGGAATCTCTGACACGCAAGGTACAGAACCTTCAAAGCAAACTTGCTTCTGCCAAAGAATCTGCGCAAACCTCACCGGCCAACCTCGCTGCACCGTCTGTGCAAACAGCGCAGCCACTGCCCATTGTCCCTCCTGTGCCTCGGGTGCCTGTGTTCACGGATACTAAGCCAATCCTGGGACGAGATCGAGCCATGTCAAACACCCCAGCAGCATCCCAATCACAAACACCGGAGAGGAAACCTATGCAGTCAGGTATGACGCAAACTGGAATCCCTGAAGAGGAAGTACCGACATCTGCGGGTAAGAAGAGACGCGCACCAGAACATGATGACAGGGAAACTGTTCCACCCGAGGGCCGTTATACGAGTGACTCGGACATGCAAGCGGCCACTACGCCACGTCTCCGGAGAACATTGCACTCAAGCCGATCCGGATTTACGCCGATACGCTCTGCCAGAAGCATAACCAGTCTGCCTTCACCAGGAAGACGAGCCACAACTACTATCTCAGACGTGACGAACAGTCCTCGGTCCACATCTGACCCTCAAACCTCTAGAACTTCGTCTAAACGGACCTGGTTGGGGAAGATCAGAGGCGGAGTGCCGCAATCCAATAATTTAGGTGGCAGAGTTGTATCCTCGCGAGGAAATGTGTTTGAGAAGATGCCAGATATTCCGAGATCGTCATGATGGACTCTGTTCCTTAGTGTTGTAGCATCTACCTTTACCTACTTGTGTATTTCTAGTCAGTCAGTACCCGTACACTCCATCGAAACGTGGTCACAAACACTCTAGCTATAGCGAACTTGAACCTGTGCGCTGGAAACTCGAAGTAGTAACTGTTGCACTTCAAACTTTACCGGCAAGCATCACGGCAGTCACCATCTGATACTTTGTCTCTGGTCATCACTGTTGTACTGCACCACCTGGTTCGCCTGCCGCTGGTTAATTTTGGAGCAGTTTGATTGTGTTATTCATGATCATAGGACAACTTGAAGGCTAACTGAGTGTCCCTACGCCGCGACTCGGAAGACACGCCAGCAGTCATGTTCAGAGAGAGACACGTTCTTGCCGATCTTTCGACTGGTCAAAGAGACCCTGATGACTGGGAGATTGGCAGGCTACGAACTGCTGACTATCTGTTGGACACAAGAGTGCTGACTTATGAATCTACATTGAGCCTTTTGGCTGTTGGTGAGATCTTTCAACTTGAGTCATCTTTGAACTGTGACTCAAGCGCTGCTTTCTTTTTGTTTCCAGGCACGGCAGGTGGCCTGATTTATGTGGTGGGCGGTCCTGGCGTAGAGAGTTCAGTGCAGACGCCAGAAGGTTCTCCCGTCAAGATCTTGCAGCTTGCCGCCTCCACGGACAGACTTCTCTCCGTCGGTAAGCCGACCGCCAATACGTCAACCTTTCGTAATTCTATACCACTAGATGAGCGCGATCGACTCCATATCTGGAACTTAAAAGATTTGACCGAACCACCGAAGTCAACGAGATTTGACCATGCTATCAAGTGCGCAAGCAATCGATCGCTGTAATAATGACGTTTGCTGACCCGCAGTGTCTGAACACAAGTGCTGTTATGTTGTCACCTTCACATACCCATGTGGGCACTGAAACTCAAGAGTTTCTTCAACATTTCTAAGATTGCTCTTTCCAGGTTTTTCTTGCCCTGCAATCGGGAGAGATCAGAACATATGATCTTCTGTGTTTGAAGAAGTCACCCTATGTTATCCCGAACTTGTGGAATATGTTTCAGACTAAGATCGCGAGCAGTGTGGTAGATCCCTTGCATGCATTGCCTGGTTGGTCCGTCCAACAACTCTGGCATGTTGCAGTCGAGGCGTGCTTACATTGGACCTTAGCAACATACCTGTCGATTTAGTCGCACATCCGCGAGACCTCAACTTGATATTTGTAGCCTTCGGTGGTCAGTCATTTCTATGGTCAAATACAAGTACCTGAAACAGTCTCTAGGGGGGGTTGTACTGTACGACCTGGTGTGTATCTGAACTCATTGTCACTGTGTGTCTAGTAACTGTTCATTCCCTTCTCAGTCTTCACGCAACATTCTACGGGCGTACGAACTTGTAATCCCTGCTGGTGCACCAGGAGGGGGAGGATATCACCAATCCGTGAGTCGGAGCTTTCCAACCACAATCTATCATGAACTCATAATCTCCAAGAAAGTGCTCACACACCGGCGGCCTTTCGTTACTTCTGTAGCTATTCACCCAGCTGGGCATTTCTTTGCAGTGGGTTATGCAGATGGTTGTGTCGCCTTTTGGGCGGTAGAAGACGAAGATCAGCCTCTGATGGTGCGAACATCCACAGAATTGGATGTTAATGTCATAAATGGAGAGGAGCTTGAAAAGTTTCTGCAAAATGGGGGTCCTTCAGAAGAAAAGGGGACTAATTTGCCAGAACGTCAGCCGATCTATAGGGTCGCTTGGTGTGGTTTCCCGAACTCCTCAGATCCCCGAGGAGGAGCGACTGCTCTCGTCTTTCTGGGAGGCGACAGAATTGACGACCCTTGCCGTTTAACTGTATACACAATGCCCGCTCTCAATTCTCCGGAACCTCCTGCTCCATCTGGTTCCAAAACTGGGCTCCATGCTTCTATCCGAAATGCAATGCGACTTTCGGTAATTCCGTTAGAAACAACCTATTATCCATCATCAGGGCCTGTTTATGACTTCGTCGTCTTTCCAAAGGCTAATCCACATTTTTCTGGCTGCTGGGATCCTGTTGCCCTGCTTTTTCTCACTGCAGCCTCCCCTGATTCACGGATGGTTGAGGCCCGACAGTTCCTGCCTCCGAAAATGATGTTTCCGCTGCCGGAAACAGACACCCAGAATAACAGCGAACACGGCGATGTTATACATGACCTTCCCACGACGCTTGAGGATATGACACTTAGCGGAGTAGAGCCTCCACCAATGCACGTTCCTTCAAAATTGTACAGTGGGCTTGGCGGGGTATCTTATGCACAGCTCTTGACTCTGCAACGAGGTGTGCATGATGTACTTGTGGGACAACAGCCCGTGCTTGGTGATGGGGATTTACCTGTCGTCGGGGGGTCTGCATGGATAGACGATAAAAGACTCAGTGAGCTAAGGCTCTCCAGGGTACTGATCAATTGATTTCCCATAATTATTGATCATTAATACTGCGCTTCAGAGCCATCCGCGCCGAATCCTTATCACCTGTCATCGCGACTCAACTGTCCGATTCTACGATGCCAGTCCTCAGCTTCTCATTAGCTCCAGCACAGCACCTCTTCAGAAGCATTACCCTTTCGCGATTCATGATCTCACTATAGATCTCAGTTGTCTACCACTTTCCAGTGCCCCAGAAGTCGCCACTGTTCAAGTAGCCCCCGAATCCTTGGAGTGTATCGTGCTACTGAAATCAGGCGACCTTTTGGTATATCGATTGAACGCAACGCAAGTCGACCCTCCTATCGAAATAGAAGGAAATACAGAGTTTGTCCTGCTGCGTAATGTCGCTTTACGACCAGGGACGAGGTACCGTCCCTTCTTGATGCTGCCTCGTGGTAATGTTTCTTTGACATGTTGTGCATTATCGGACATAGGTATGCTCTCCTTGGGACCCAGTGTTACATGAGTTGCTTAACGTAAGATAGGTTTCATTGGTGTTGGTTATATCGATGGCTCTGTCGCAGTGATCGATCTGCGTGGACCATCTCTCCTCAGACCCCAGCGTCAGAAAAGGCAGTCTAAGCTTCTGGTCCGCAATCAAGATGCAGACCCTGTTGTCTCCCTGACGTGGACCGTTTCTGCTGTCAGCATGGGTATGCGCTGATATATGCGATAAAACTCTATCTCATCCCATGACTAGATGCACAGCTAGCTGTGCGGCTGATCGCCATACATGAGTCTGGCAACACGCAGGTCTTCAAGATCATCCGGGATCCCGAGTCTTCGATGTATGATTTTGCACATGATGTCACCAGGGTCGAGGGCCTCCCAAATGTCATGCAAGGTGGTTCATTCGTGATCGATTCGCAGAAAGGTACTACTTGGCATGCCGATCGATCACGTTTTGCTGCTGCTCTCCAAACTGGAGACAGCAATCCTGCACGTTGCTTCTGGGTGACCGCAAGTGCCAAGGGTGCTCGTTGTATGCTTGGTATCTCAGGGGAGAGGATTTCCAAAGTAGAGTGGAATAGCAAGAAAAACAAAGTTGGACACGTTCAAGTGATTGAGAAGAACAGTGAGCTCATTGACTCAGAGCTCAACAATCAGGCTATTGCTAACAACAAACCCAGATTCTCACGTGCTCGTAGCATTTAATGACAAACCAGAAGCTATGGTTTATTCTTTACCTTATCTTGAACACTTGCATACATTCTCTCTCGCAAAAATATGTGAAAAGTACGTACTCCAAATTGCGTTGGCTATGCTCTTGATTTTTTATTCGCCAGTGTCGTGTCTGTGGACGAAACGGGAGATTTCATTGCCTTGATGCGCCACGATTCAGGCGTACTTGAACAAATTGTATTTGGTACACTTTTCAAGACTCGTCGTGTTTATGATCACCCAATCGTTGATCTGACAAGCTTTCGCCACGAAATTCCCCCTTACCCACAGCCAGTGTCCGTTGGCCCCCCTTCGTTACTGGGCTCATGGTTCCGGTATGGGAAACCCATTATGACTGGAGAACAGCTCGACGCGCTACGTATGTTGAGTCACTCGAACACCTTTAATTCTTGATCTGGATCGTCGATATAGTTGCGGGTCCCGACAGACCTATACCGCCGCCGGATCATATGCAAACATCACAAGACACGGCCGCCACTTATGAACCCGGTGTCATGAAGACGATGGAGAACGCTCGCGATGGCGTCTACAACCGTCTAAACGATGCTCTTGCTGAAAGGGGGTGCGTATATGATCGTCCGACCACTTCTCCGATATCAGTGCTAAACGAGAACCAAAGGGAGATGCTGGGAAACATTGAGCAACGGATTGATTCCCTACAACAAGGGAGCAAAGATATGGTGACGCAGGTGAATCTTCGGCTACTAGTTATCATATTTGTGCGCGGTGCTAACCTCGATTAGGCTAAGAGACTTGCAACTGAGCAAACCGCTAGACGTTGGTTCGGCTTCTGAGTTGACCAACAAGATACACGTCAGCCAACGACACCCGAAATTCGAAGTTCTCGATGTATACCAATATGTATATCCTCCGTGTACTATAGGAAACTCCAGCTATGTAATAATATATGATGTAGGATATGATATGTATGCAGTCTTCTGATTGCCAGTGTTGTTCACTGCTGGTTTTCCAGAGTGCGCGATGCCTTGATCAACTCCCTCATTCTTGAGTTTGGAAATAACTTCTCATCTGACCATCGGCCCTTAGCTGCCTCTACGGCGAAAAGCCCGAGGTCCTCGATCGGTATATACATGGAGGGTAGGATGGTCTTCATGATGGGCGTCATGAGGCAATCCATAGACCTTGCTGTTCGTGAACGAATGTTCTCTCGGTCTGACGCTTTGAAAGGGAAGAAGTAACCAGGCCGCATGACAGATGCATTGATGTTGGAGGACGGAGGGAGATCAAAGAGAGCTTTTTCAGTCATGCCCTAGATGCAGCGTGAGCATTCCAATGCTTGCGAGTGCTGACGTATCAAGCAACAGGCGCATACCTTGATTCTCGCAAACTTGACATTACTCTTGCCAGATGGATCTGCGCCCTCTCCTGAAACAAAAACAAATCTGAAAGGCTCTCCCGTTTTGTCCTTCGTCCCTGCTTCTTGCAGGGAGTCCACAAAGTGCGTGGTGTAGTCGTATGTGATGCGAGTATATTCTTCGTCTGACAGGCCTACTGAACTCTTTCCCAGTGCCCAAATGCAAGCGTCATGCCCTGCCAGACGAGCAGGGAGATCACTAGGGTAATCCAAGAAGTCTTTCAGAACTATGACTTCTGTCTTGTCGTTTTCGGGTATATCCATCCATGATGGGAGTGCTCTACGAGAGAGCACCGTGATCTTCGTGATAGCTGCATCCAATACTGCTTGACGAAAGATCTGGATACCAGCTGACAGATAAGTAAGGATGTGTTGAGTTTGGGACTTCACATCTGAATAGAGATGGTAACATACCAGCACCAGTGACACCTGTTAAGACGAGCTTCATGATTGAAAGTGGTTGAAAGGTTGTCTTGGATGACTTGCCTTCCGCTGGTGTAATACGTGGGTTTAAGTACCCCTTCAAGTCATTATAAGCGCTTGCGCAATAGCATAGCAACACGCTGTCACGCTGTGGGCTGACGCAGTCAGCCGGCTAGACCCTCAAAGTGACCATAATCAAGGGCGGGTTATAGTGCACACGCATCATGATAAGAGACCGTGACGCAATGTTCAAGCCGGCTTACGCGAACAAATGTGACTTCAAAATCACTGCCGGAGACTGCGCGGCGGCGGCAACATTCATCATGTAAATCACATATCCCACAGTAGTACGACGTACTTATACGACTCACTATTTGCCGAAGATGATGCAGAGAACTTCTTGATGTCAGATCCCTAGGAATCCATCCTGAGAGGTAGATGACCGTTCGTGACTTGACCGGCGTTTGTTGAAACTATACTTCTCGAGAAGACACTGTGACAAAAGAAATATTATTGTGACGGTGACGTGTTACTGCCGCTGCCTGCAACCGTGATACTTACCACCAATACGATACTATCAGGCATGGCAGATTATGAGTCTTTGCACAGGCAGTGCCGCACTCTGGAGTCTTTATTTGACACAAAGCTTACGTCGTACTCCCGCCTAGCATCAACAATAACAAGAAACCAGGATGACATCGAGGCAGGAGGCTCGCGCGAACGCTGGAAAGACGTCGAAGGCGAAGTCGAAGACCTCTTGGAGAAGGTGGGACACACGAGCACCCCAGCACGCATACAAGTAGCTTACAAGGACATATGTTTAGCTACGAGAAACTAATGATGAATTACTCGCACTCTCAAACAACCCGGACACCCCGCCCTCACAATCCATGTCCCGCGCAATTCAGAGACATGGTGAAGTCTATCAGGACTATGCCAAGGAGCTTCGCAGGACAAAGGTTTGTCCCGTTCTAATGTTATGTGGGCCCTGCTCTCATGACATTTCATAGACAAATGTCCAGCATGCACTTGACAAAGTAAACTTACTTTCGGGCGTTCGAAATGACATTGAGTAAGTTCTGATTCATTTGCGGAATTCCCGTTGATGATCCTCTCTTGCGACAGAGCATATAAATCTTCCGCAGCAGACTCACTACTGGCGGAAAGAGGGAGAATCGACAGCTCCCATTCGATGACAGACCAGATTCTTGAGTAAGTTTCATCCACACTCGTTATTCTTCTCTGAACATTATGCCGTAGCCAAGCATACGAAACACGAGCAGAATTCTCGCGTCAAAGCATGTCTCTGGCTAGTATAAACACACGCATGACTGGTGTCATAAGTCAGTATTCTACGCACAGTCGGAATAACACATGCTGACAATCAGCACAGGTACGATACCTGGCATCAACAATCTCCTTTCCATGATTAAGAGTCGACGGCGAAGAGACTCTATTATCCTTGGCATTCTTATTGGAGGGTGCTTACTCCTGCTGATAAGCTACATGTCGCGGTGATACCATTTTCAGTATTCATGGACCATTCAATGAAATTATATATTTCATACATTGGCAGTCATACAACGAACTTACATACCAGTCAACTGTTGTCCAGTCTGAGCAGGTTACCATGAACAACACTATGATTGTACTCGGTAAAAACTTTCTATTAACGCTCCCTGGTCGTTCGTTTGATGATTTTGCTAAGCCCGGTATGATTTCCTTGCACAAATTCCTTCCAATTGTTTTCCAAATGTCGGACGGCTCCCTGCTGGCTTTCGTCTACGACCTCTTCCCAGGATGACTCAACTGGCCATCCTTTCACTTCAGCAACTATAAGCACCATGTCCCAAGTGCGTTGCGTACAGTCTTCGATCTTGTGGCAGTCTGATTCAACGAGGATACGACGTGAAGAACATGCAGCAATCAGTGCTCGGTGATTTGGAGACCGACTATTGATAACCGTTGAGAGAGACAAAAATACATTTGGATGACGTTTCTGCAAAAGCCCGTTTAGCTCAACACAGGCAGATGAAACGGTCAGGTCACAGGTGCATACCTCAATGGACAGCCACGTTTGCGGGCTAAAGCCGCAGCTGTGAATATCAATGCTTATTTTCATCCAGTGCTCGCCATGCTTATCAGCCATGCGGTCCAAGAGTTCCACAGTAGCCATTTGCGATTTAACGCTGTGCATGCTGATGTTTCGACCTAGCTTTGCTGCTAGATCAAGCTGTGCTTCAAGGATAGCTAATTGATGCTCAAAGGGCACGGTGAAAGGCGTCAATTCTCCAGGCGACGAGAAGTAGTCGTAAGGCACGCGAAAAGCTCTGTCAATGCCAACTTCTCCGAGCATTGCGCTTGGAAAAGCCATTAAATTCTGACGAACGTCTTCCAGAACGGTTCGTAGGGTTACTGGTTCAGGTAGATGAACCAGCAACTTTTGAAAGGCCTCGAGGTGTTCGTCTGCATCCTTGAATATGCGCCTATAATGATTTTCCTTTGATTCATACGGTGCCAATGCGATCCAATGCGTGAACCACGGATGGTAACCTAGCATCAACATCAGCGGTTCTTTGGTATCACAGTGTTGATTGACCGATTCAAAGCTAACCAAAGGAAGGCACAACTTTGTCTGGGAATGCAGTAGCCAAGTCTCGCACTAATCCTTGGTCCGCCTGAAAAGTGGACATGGCACCGATAATGATGGGCAAATTGTCCATTGACTTTACTGGAATCTCTGAGTCGGTGGGATGACAATGTACATCGACGACATGTCGCAGGACTGATGGGGGAGGAAGGGTGTCCCGATGAGAAATAGTATCAGAAATTTCGTGCTCGTGACACATGTCGATAGCTCAACGCTCAGCGTCACTCCAGCTCGGCTCACAGGCTCGAGCGTATTAGTTCGGTGTGATCAAGCGGGGTGATCGACATGCACAAACAACTTCCATGCTTGGACTTCAATCATGTCTAAGTACAACTTTGAGGAAACACCCTGGATTATCTTTCTTCTCTAAATTCATGGCATGTACAGCGACACTCGATGTATCACCTCCGGTACATCGTTGGATGGACACCGCTCTTCAAAGGGATGCTTTTAAAAAGACTATCCCTATCCTTGCCGCCAAGGTTTCTGCTTCTAAAACCGGGTCTCTGCTAAAGTCTGATATCATGAAGAAGTATGTGACTTCGGCTGTCCAGAGATCATATCTAATATACTTCGAAGATCCCTCATGAATTTGCCAAAAGTACGCAGCGTTCTTCGGGACCCCCACGATGACCTCGAGAGGCTAGTATTGCTGAATGTATCTGAGGATGGTACTGTGTAGCTTTTTTTGATCGATTAACACACGCTTTTCTGATATCCCATCCGTAAGCCAGATGCCCTCTCGCCGGAGGTTCGCAACTTCTTGCAGGAACAGTCTGCTACGCTGGTGGTGCACAACCTAGAGTTGACTTACGACTACTGGACGGCTGGTACGAGCTGCGTGGTTCCTCGTGTCAATGATATTTATCTATGTCTAGATGAAATCTTACATTCCATATTGCCCGAGGAGCTTTGCAAGGGTTCCCCATCAGGGTTCGCAATTACTGGCCATCTCGGTGAGCGTGATGACATTCGCGTTTGATTGCCACTGATAGGCCCTTCAGCTCACATGAACCTCAATAAAGAATATCTACCCTATAAACATATCATCGGTCAAATCGTTCTGGATGAAAGTCTTGATTCCTCGAATTCTGAACTTCCGCTGATGTCATTTACCATAGAAAAATCCTATGATTAAAACAGTCGTCAATAAATTAGACAGTATTGATACAAAGTACCGATTCTTCAAGATGGAACTGCTCGCTGGAGAACCTAATTATGTCGTTGAGCACGTAAGTCAAATCTTTCTATGGAACGATCAGCTAAGAAAAACCCTAGCACGAGTCTAATTGCCGATTCACTTTTGACTTCACCCATGTTTACTGGAATTCACGGCTTCATACAGAGCATGATCGGCTTGTCCAACTCTTCCGACCAACCGACGTCATTGCAGATGTATTTGCTGGCGTGGGTCCTTTCGCAATTCCTGCTGCCAAGAAAGGGTGTGCGGTACTTGCTAACGATCTAAACCCCGAGAGTGCGAGGTACTTGAGCCAGAATATCGTTGACAATAAAGTGATGTGTTTCTTTCATTTGATATGTGCTTCGTTCTGACGTTGTTTGGTAGGTCACAAGTTTGGTCCGCGCTAGCTGCGAGGATGGTCGTGATTTCATTAAAAAGGTTATCGGCCGTGCGAGGGATCATCCTTTCCCCACATACACCGGGCCGAAACTTAGCAAGATGCAAGAAAAGGAGAGACGCAAGTTGCAACTAGCAGAATCTCGTCCAATAGCAGCACTTGGACTGGTTGATCTGCCAACCGTGGAGAATCAGTCTCCTCGTCACACTATTTCACATTTTGTGATGAATCTTCCGGACTCGGCGATCGACTTCCTCGATGCCTTCCGTGGAATTCTATCAGAAAGCGAATGGGACTTCGGCAATTACGCCAACATGCCTATGATTCATTGTCATTGCTTCACACGCGAACTCCATCCAGACAGGGCTGAAGCGGACATTATACAGGTGATGTTTGTGACTCAGTGCAAAGGCTATGCTAACTGTTGTTATTAGAGGGTTGAAAGTAAACTCGGACATAAGCTGGAGACAGAGGTGACATTGCATATGGTTCGGTCTGTTGCTCCAAATAAAGACATGTACTGTATCAGTTTTAGATTGCCTCGTGACGTGGCCTTTGCGCAGTAATAATAAGGGCGCCGACATTGCTTCTTGATTGATGCCCTAAAGCGGTGAGCCTATAGGAAATTCGGAATCAAGTGAATCCCGTTGTCTTTGGCATAAGTAGCATGTGAGGCTCGGCAGTTATTATGTAATCACCCAAGTTATTTATCCCCGCAATAGTACTGCATTGCTCTGTTGGAGTAAAATTTGGTCCTTCGCTCTTGTGCTAGTAACTACATCGCTGCAGGCTACCAGTTAGTGCTGCATAAGTATCCTTCCCCCCTAGACTTGCTTGCTTGCTCTCTCTTGCCATATAGACATACCTGATACCTCCTAGACACTAGTTCACCTCGGAGTCGTGACACTAGAACAATGACGCGCGCTATCTCCACAGTTCATTGCGACGCCGATGCGGTATCCTCCTCTTTGACTGGCTCCGCCTTGAAAAGTGTTCGAAGTGTGGTTGCAGCACCCGAGAACGAGATGAAGCGATGGAGAAGGATATTTGAAGCAAATGCAAAGGTCGTGATCGATGGGGAGAAGTATGTCATGATTCATTCTCAAGAAATTCACCCTCTTGCTGACTGTTCGGACGACAGATATCTTGACCCTGACAACTTTGTCAATGCTATCGCTCCGAAAAGCGATTCGACAAAAATAGGTCGTGCGCAATTTGCGATTCTTTTTCGTGTAGCCGACTCCTCGAAGCGGGGGTTGGTTTCTTGGGACGATTTCACAGTGTTTGAGACACTTCTCAAACGTCCCGACGCAGATTATTGGATAGCCTTTCAGTATTTCGATGTGTGAGTCTTTCCTTTCCATCCCATTATATATAGCAGCACTCAGACAGTGGTCACATTTAGGGACAGTTCGGGTACCATAACTTTTGATGAGTTCAAAAATGTGTTCTTGGCCAACGTTGGGCCATCTGCCATTCCTTTTGACTTTGACTGGTGCGTACTATTGGAATTCCAAATGATTTGTGTTTACCGTGGTCACAGTGATTGGGTTAAGCTATATCTTGGGCGAAAAAACGGCACACACGTTCTTGGATGTCAGTACGGATATTGCTCTAATTTCACATCTATTGACTTTTTTTGGTAGACAATGAATTCACCCAGCTGATGAAGGGCCTTCAGGGAGAACGTCTTCGACAGGCGTTTAAATATCTCGACAAGGATCAAGATGGATTTATTAGACCTGAGGAGTTCAAACAAATTATTTTGGTTTGTAAACGACTTATTCCTCACGATTTGCCCTTTATATACTTCCCTCATAACAGGAGATCGCTGGGCATAAACTATCTGATGCAGTCATTGAACGTCTACCTACGCTATGCACACTCACTCCTAGTGGGCGAATATCTTATTCCGAGGTCGTTGCATTCCAAAATGTTATCCGAGGTGAGCTTCATTGTTCTGCGACCTGGAAGCGACCCCAACTTTTGTATCGCAGAGATGGACATGGTGGAACGGTAATTCCACCCACTTGATATAGCTGTCATTAGCTAATACGTTACCAGTATTTTACGCGAGGCCACCGCCAAGTCAAAGGACGGACGCATTGATCAGTCTGACTTCCTTAATCACTCTGCTGCGATCTCGCGCTATGCTCTTTTCACGCCCATGGAAGCGTCTATCATTTTCCATTTTGCGGGTCGAGGTAGCCGTGAGAAGAGGCTTGCTCTGTTGGACTTTGCTCAACTCCTGGATCCGCAGTGGAGAGCCCCTCATGATGTTCTCGAAGCCAATGAAGTCAGGCCGAAGGCATCATTGCTTCAAGGAGTACTGAAGTCTGCCTACGGCTTTGTTCAAGGAGGCACGTTATCTATTGCACAACACTATCGCGACGCAACTCTAACATAAGTATAGGAATCGCGGGGGCTCTCGGTGCTACTATTGTCTATCCTATTGATATGGGTAAGTGATTATGAATTATGCTGTGTTGGGGATCTATCTAATTTGCTTATCTTGACAGTAAAGGTATGCTGTGCATTTCATCAGTAATTCTTTTAGTTCACAACAAGTCTCATTGGTTGGCAGACTCGGTGCGTTTTTGACTGTGTTTTCGCGAGTTTGGTTGCTGAACAACTTTAAGGATGCAAAATCAGCGGAGTACAGTGGTCGGTCAGATGTTGTACAAGAATAGCATCGACTGTGCTCAGAAAATATTCCGCAACGAAGGTCTCATGGGTTTCTACCGTGGCCTTGGTCCACAGTTGATCGTGCGTCATCGTTGTACTTATATATTTCGCCTCGCCTCAAGTTTCACTAGGGTGTTGCTCCAGAGAAAGCTATCAAGCTTACCGTCAATGACCTTGTCCGTGGTCGAGCCATGGATCCAGAGACAGGACGCATCAAGCTTGGTTGGGAGCTAATAGCCGGTGGAATGGCTGGTGGTTGTCAAGTGGTATGTCTTCTCTTTTTAAGACCGTATTCATGTTGCCCACAACGATGGCAGATCTTTACCAATCCCCTGGAAATTGTGTAAGTTTAAGCACCCCGTCATAACCTGGTCCTTACTCGAGTTTTCAGTAAGATTCGTCTTCAAATACAGGGTGAAGCTGCGAAGCTAGAAGGAGCAGTTAAACATGGTGCTGCCCACATCGTACGCCAACTGGGTGTGCTTGGTTTGTATAAAGGGGCCAGTGCCTGCTTGCTTCGCGACATCCCGTTCTCCGCCATCTATTTCACGGCATATTCCCACCTCAAAAAGGATGTTTTCCACGAAGGCTATAACGGAAAGCAATTGTCATTCCTGGAAACGTTGGGTGCGGCGGGCATTGCGTAACGTTTCTTGTGTTAAAAAACTTGTGACATGTGCTGATGGAGCGAGTTCACCAGTGGGATGCCAGCAGCCTACCTAACAACTCCTGCTGGTTCGTCCTCTTTTTTATTAGTACCCGTAACGATACCCATGAGATGCTTGTCACAGATGTGGTGAAGACTCGCTTGCAGGTGGAAGCGCGACAAGGTCAGACCCACTACAAAGGTCTCACAGATGCATTTGTCAAGATCAGTAAGTGCCGATGTCATCTAGCGAAGTTGAGATGCATGACTGGTATTTCCTCTAGATAAGGAAGAAGGTTTCAAGGCATTATTTAAGGGAGGACCGGCGCGTGTCCTCAGAAGTAGCCCACAGTTTGGCTTCACCCTCCTTGCATATGAATACTTGCAAAAGGTACATGGTCGTTGCTCTACCCCCTGAACCTACTAACATATAATCATCCTTGCAGTTCCTTCCTGTCAGTCCTCCTGTCTGGTTCATGGATTTGATACCTGATCATTTTCAACAGTACCCATGGCAAGACAACAAACCCGAAGTCAAGACTGCTCTGACAACACCAAAGCGGGATGAGATGTCTCAAATACGTGCGAGGAACGCCCTCAAAATATTACTAGACGTTCATGGAGACTTTGGGAGACGTGCGGCCAATTTCTCTCATCCCCTCGTGAAGCAAGCACCACCAACAGCCTCGCCATCGAAATCAACATGATGCACTATTTAATCCTCATCTATTGAACTTTATTTAGATGGAACAGTGCAGGAAGACAGTTCCCCGTTCTGGCTCATGTCGATGTTGCTGCCGACACATGCACTTGCTACTACATAGACTCAATTGCTCCTGCCAAACTATTGCAGTATACCGTAATACGATTGGATTATTTACATAAGCTTGTTATGCGTAGAGTATCAGATTCATAGACGTTCTGGGATGTTAGCCACAGTTGCACCACTACCCTTGGTCCTTGGTCCTTTGACAAATGCCGCTCCGTGAAGTCGAATTTCCTTCCGATCCTAAAGATCTGGAAGACACAAAAGAACAATTCTTGATTTTCTACTCCTCGCGTGTGAACGGGCAGCTATGGTGTCCTGTGAGTGCGAGTCTCACGTACAGCGACAACACAAAATCCTGACTGGTTGATCTGCTAGGATTGTGTAGCAGTAGATCGGACCATCCAAGATACCTTCGGTCCCGAAAATGGGCCATCTGCGGTGATCGTCTACGTTGGCCAAAAGCCCGAGTAGGCAGGCACATCGTGTCATCTGTGGACTGGCACTCAATTCTGCGATGATGCTCAGATGGAAAATACCCTCCAATGTGTTCAGAGGGGAGCCTTGGCAAGTCGCCTCAGTCCCCACGGTTATTAAGGTTGAAGATGTTAGTATTGGACCAATCCAATCTCACTGCTGCATAGCAATTTCTGATAACCTTATCGACAGTCCAAGGTAGCCGGTCGACTCGACTCCGATATCAACACACTTCTTGCGGCTTTCATCAAGGGATAGAGTGGTTAGGCTTGCCACTTTCGAGTACCAACTATTGGCCTTTTGGATTCAATGTTGTGTAATAGAAACGACTGAAGGTCAAACTTTTGAATAAACCCTCCTCCTTACTAAACTCCTACTCATACGCAACATCCACAAAATCTCCCTGATATGCGACATTCAATCACAACTAGCATTGACGACCCCCCGGCCCAGTGTAGCCCCGTGGAGGTTGCTTATGTACCTCCATGTGTCTTTGGAGTGCATTTCTTTCTACCATGCAATATCGCCGAGGTCAGAATGAGTATACTGAATGAGATCGATCCTTGCGTTATTAGCACAGAACCTCACCATCATGATGAGCCCTCATTGAGTTTTGCTCATAAATGGGTTATTGTAGTGTCTACAATGTCCCAATGAATATTGGCCATCTCTCTCGAGTGTCGTCGGTAGCCCGATGTAGGCATCCCATTATATGCACCGCGAAGTCGACATGATGCTCACGACCTCACAGATCGCTTACTATACCTCATACGAGCGCACGCGCAGGAGCTATTAAAGACTGGTTATGGGTGCGACTTTGGGAACTCGATGTCTGGCAGCTGTGCACGCGGTAGAAGTGGGTAGGCGACGACGACGACGACTGACAACACTCAACAGCCCAAGTTATTTACCTCACGTTTGTGTTACTTCATTTCTTGCCCTACACTGAACAGTACTAGGTTCAAGAACATGGAAGCGGGTCCATGTAATCCTACCGTTCACTCTCCTTGAAGACGAGTTTCATGACAAATGTTGAATTGACAGCGAGCAAGAAAGTACATGAAAGAGAATAATTGAACATGGAGAACGCTGCTATTTGAAGTTTATATTTTGTGGGTGTGCGGATAGCACTGACCAAGTTGTAGCAAACATTCATACTGCGTTATGGATGCCATGACGCTAGGAGATGGAGCGGGGAAGATGGAGAGGCAGAGTGCTTCGACAGGGAAATTATAGTAATCGGACTACATGAGGAGCAGTGCGGGCCTGGAGTTTGCATCCTGGCGCACAAGAACCATAAGATTAAACGTTGCCAAAAAATAGGATGCAATTGAGGATATATGTTGAGGACATGATGTACACTGGTGATGAAACTAATAGTTACGGATCTCGAGTAAAATCAGCACTTTTACCACCTGCTTTATGCGCGACTATGATTTCCCCGATCTTCATTTCTTTACCCGCCACGGCCTTCAGCATATCCCAAACCGTAAGGAGACCGACCGATACCGCAGTCAGTGCTTCCATTTCCACGCCGGTTTTGCCTTCGCATGTCACAGTAGCAGTACACTTTATGCTATACTCGAGGGCGCCTTCATCACCAGGCTGGGAAACTGGATGCACATCACGCTCAGGCGTCAATGTGACGGATACGTTGGATATCTGGATAGGATGACATAGAGGAATAAGGTCGGAGGTTCGCTTGCACCCCATGATCCCTGCCAATTGGGCGACTGTCATCACGTCCCCTTTGCTGCGAGCCTTTTGGATCGTCTCGTCCGTGGAGTCGACATCACCTGATCCTGTGACAAGGTTATATGCAGATCTTGGAATGTATATGCGACCGCTGGCAGTAGCACTACGCTTCGTTGCGTCCTTACTACCGACATCAACCATGCATGGCCGACCATCAGAACCAATGTGAGTCAAACTGAGGCTGGATTGACTAGATGATGAGCTCCAGCGTCGATGGATATGAGGTAACGATGGTGTATTATTGAGAAGGAAAGATTGTGCAGGAAGGCGGGGCAACGATCGCACTCCAGACTCGCGAGGCTGTATGCCTGGAAAGGTGGATTCATATCAGAACACTATATTGAACCATTCATACGCTAGTAGACTCGACCTCGATGGAAAGTACCTAACCTCCGATGAGTATCATAGGTCGGTTGGTTATGACATCAATGTCCTCCATTCCGGCGTGCTTCTCCTGTTTGCCTTGGACAGCGCGTCCAATGACGTTTAAGAGTTCTCGATCACTGGCGCCGCGTCGCATTTCATCTCTAAGTGATACTTCCTTGGCATCAAAGAGACAAACCTGGTTTATAGGTGAGTACATAGCACGCTCTAGTAACGACAAACATACTTTAATTTGCCCATCTGCTGTCAAACGCAGGCGATTGCAGGACGAGCAAAAATGATCTGACATGCTACTGATGAAGCCTAAACTACCAGTATGTCCCGGAATCTTCCAGGATCGTGCGGTGTCGTTGAGTTCGTCGGGTGCTCGTGTTATGGAAGGATATTCTCTTGAGATAATGTCCAAAAGCTGGCTGGAAGGGACCATCTTTGCCTTATCCCACTTGTTTCCTGTGGTGGTGTAAGTAAAGCCAATGATTGTCGGGGACACAAGATACCTGTGAAGGGCATGAATTCGATAAATCGAACAGATATATTTTGGTCCGTAGTCAATTTGACAAAATCCAGGACTTCTGAATCGTTGAGGCCCTTGATGATGACGACATTTAATTTCACTGATCGTAAGCCTTGACTGTAGAGGGCAGTACTGAGTGAACGGAGAACTGCATCGTGACCGGGACGCCGAGTCATAATTTCAAACTTGAAGGGATCCAGAGTATCAAGGCTGATCACTATCAGGCACGCGGTGTTGAATGCACGAAGAAATGACGGTCACCTCAGATTCAGGTGTGTTAAACCATTTTCGATATAAAGAGGCAGACGGCGGTGGAGGGCAATTCCATTAGTAGTCATTCCGATGGACTGGAGACCGAGTGGGCGGAGCTCGTTGAGGCGACCTGCACAGGTTTTAGCCAACGTTCAGAAGCATGGCGATGATAACTTGCGAATTATGCCGTCCAAACCTTTCCGGACAGTAGGTTCTCCCCCAGTCAAACGTATTTTAGTGACGCCGCTTCTCACAAAAAGATTTGCCAATCGGATGATCTCGTCGTCGGTTAAGATATGGTCGGCTGGTGATAGCTCTACTCCTTCGCTAGGCATGCAATAAAAGCCTACGTTGCGATCAGACTGATCAAATGGTTGAAGCAACAAATAAACTAAAGGACAGACATCGCAGATTACATCTCTCTGTCAAAGAGATGCGAAGATAATCGTGTCTCCTATGAAACGAGTCGATGAGTGCGGGTGAGAATTGACTTTGTGCATCGATTTGTGCGATTTTTGACTAAGGGCATGATGAGTTGAAAGTTCTACGCCAGATGGGTGATCATAGTACCTGAGCCTTCGCTCTTGGAGTCTTCTGCGAATAGTAGCGGAGACCAGTAGGCCCGTACTTGCGAGATATCGCGGAATATAACCAATTTGACCGTTGATAACTCATGTATCGGAAGAAGGAATAAACATAGTTTGCTCCTGAGAAAGGTTAGTATCTCATTCCTTGTGACCACCGGCAAGGTGTCAAATTGGTTCCGAGGGCCCAAAGGGTGAACATTTATGTAAATTAACCTCGTCACATGACATGACGTTCCTTACTGGAGATGTATTCGGCTTCCTCAAGTCCCCATTATCATTGCTCCTTATAACAACCTCCTTAACACACTAAGTCTACCTTACTTCCCTATTAGCTGTTCGCTCGTCTGAGCTGACTCAAACAACTCCCATTTTTCTTCTCTCTTCTTTTCCTTTCTCTTCATGTCGTCGACCATGGCGGCGAACGCACCTTCCAATGGCGGTGTAAAACAACCTCAGGAAACGGCTGAAACTCATCTTCATGATATCATGAGCCATGATGCATCAAAGGGTGCCATAGTTCACTCGTTTGACCCGGATGCTCCTCCAGAACAGAAGGCAGCTGCAGCGGGGAGGCAGCGTGACCAACTAAAGAGTATCGTCCAGCAGGACGGAAATATAGATGGAAAAGGCGCGCTCTTATCTCTGATACGTCACCCAAACCTAATGTTTACATCAGAGCTATCCATTGGCGAAGCAACCCTTCCCACCATCACAGTCGAAGACACGGACGAAGTGACCAACAAAATGCAGGAGAAATCGGGCAGTGTAACTCCATCTGCACCTACAGTACCCGGAGAATACCCCTCTGGTCTTACTCCAGCGATTCCAGATTGGTACAAAGTCGGTTGGCGTGCTGTTGCAAACATTGATGCACCTCCGCTTGAAGAAGGCGAGGAGAAAGACAACCACATACTTCAGCTTTTCTTGGCTGAGCAATATTATGGCCAGTGGTACCATAATGCTGCTCTTATCTGCTTTGTAGGTCTATTGCCTTTTCAGTCCTAATAAGCTCATTTACATGACGCTGTATAGGCTGTATTTGCTTCTCATTTCTTGACACGATTCAACTTCGGCTGGGGATGGCTCATCATTTTGCTGTCAATTTGCAACACCTATTATGTAACTTCAATGACTCGTGTCCGCCGTTGTGCCCGTGATGACATTCAGCGGGAATTAATCAAGACACGTCTCGCATCCGAGCACGAATCCGCTGATTGGATGAACAACTTCTTGGACCGTTTCTGGCTCATTTACGAGCCTGTTCTTTCTGCTACTGTCGTCGCCTCTGTCGATCAGATCTTGAGCACCACTACTCCCGCCTTCTTGGACTCCCTACGCCTCACAACTTTCACCCTTGGGACGAAGGCTCCCCGTATAGACAAAGTCAGGACATTTCCAAAGACTGCTGACGATATTGTCATGATGGACTGGGGAATTTCCTTCACTCCCAACGATATATCTGACATAACCCCCCATCAAGCAGCGCAAAAAGTCAACCCCAAAATTGTTCTATCCGTTCGCCTGGGCAAAGGTCTTGCCACAGCCTCTATGCCTATCCTTCTTGAGGACATCGCCTTCAGCGGTATGATGAGGATTAGGTTGAAGTTAATGGCGAACTTCCCTCACGTGCAGATCGCGGATATCAGCTTCCTCGAAAAACCGGTTATTGACTACGTGCTTAAACCGGTGGGTGGCGAGTCCCTCGGATTTGACATAGCCCATGTAAGTAACAGTATGACGAAGTATCATCGGCCCGAGCTCACCCAGTTATCAGATTCCTGGTCTACAGACTTTCATTCGGGATATGGTTCACGACACGCTCGGTCCCATGATGTACGAGCCGAATGTGTTCACTGTCAATCTTGAACAACTTCTTTCTGGTGTACCCCTCGATACAGCTATTGGCGTTATTCAAGTTACTGTTGAGGCCGCTCGCGGGCTTAAGGCGAACAAGATTGGTGGAGGCTCTCCTGATCCCTACGTCAGCATCAGCATCAATAATCGTGAGGAACTCGCGAAAACCAAGTATAAGCCGAGCACGTCAGCAATTTTCATTATTTTGTTTTGTTTGGCCTTACTATCGCCTTCAGATACAACCCAACATGGATGGAGACAAAGTTCATTCTGGTCAACTCCCTTCAAGAGTCGTTGGTGCTTAATCTCCTTGACTACAACGATCATCGTAAGGACACTCCTCTTGGTGCCGCCACCTTTGACCTGCCGAAGCTACTGGAGGATGCAACTCTGGAAGGTTTAGAGCTACCTGTTTTAAAAGATGGAAAGGATAAAGGAATGATTCGTTTCAACATCAGCTACTTCCCGGTTTTGAAACCTGAATCCGTCGATGGAAAAGAAAATCTGCCTCATACAAGTGCGTTCACGATTCATTTCCCAGTCAAGTCTTATCATTCTTGCTAGATGTTGGAATTGTTCGCTTGACTATACATCAGGCTAAGGAACTTGATGCTACAAAATCACTTTCCGGCGACTTGAACCCCTTGGTCAAGGTTTTCCTTGGGAACAGCACTTCATACACATACAAGTCTCAAATCATCAAGCACACGAACAATCCCATTTGGGAGTCACCGACAGAGTTCATTTGCGCAGACAAGTCATCTTCAGTCATCACTATCAAGGTGGTTGATGAGCGAGACTTCCTCAAGGATCCTGTGGTCGGTTATGTGTCCGTCCGGCTGGTTGATCTTCTCCAGACGGACCCCGCTCTCAACAGGGAATGGTGGCCTTTAAGCGGCTGCAAGAGCGGCAAGATCAGGCTCAGTTGCGAGTGGAAGCCACTGCAAATGGCTGGCGCCTTGAGTGGTGCAGATCAGTATGTGCCTCCCATAGGTATTGTCAGACTTTGGTTGCGGAAGGCGACGGACGTCAAGTAAGTTTCTCAATGAAATTGTAAGACGGCAGGTTTGACAACCAATTCTTAGGAACGTGGAAGCGACTTTGGGTGGCAAAGTGATTCGCATCTGTTGTGTACGAGGGTTCGGCTAATGACACTCTGTTTCAGAGTGATCCGTATGTGCGAGTACTGGTGAATGACGTAATTCTTGGAAGGACTGAAGTTATCAACAATAGTGCGTAACGAACAATTGTGACTAAACCCTCATGACCTTTACTGCAGGTCTGAACCCTGAGTGGGATCAAATAATCTATATCCCGGGTATGTAGTCGCACGTCTTGTTGCTGTTCCTTACTCATTTGTGTTATTCTATGTCGCTCAGTCCATTCCTTGAGAGAGGCAAGATTTTCGACCACTCCTCGAATCTAATATGCTAACTTTTGATCAGTCGATGCTCATGGAAGTCATGGATTATCAAAATCTGACTAAGGTTTGTTACTGTCAGCTGATACATACGACTGGCTGACCAAGATCGCAGGATCGCTCCCTTGGATCGGTGGAATTGCATGTCAGTGATATCGCACGCGAGTCACCACCTGATCCACAATACCGCTACGAATCAACCGGTGCCAAGGAGGTTGCTGAGCCAATCCATACCGGCGGCAGCTCATACAAAGGGCAGCTACACTACAAAGCTGAATTCGTACCAGCTTTGAACGTGAAGGATGTGCACTTTGATGCAGACGAGAACGAGATCCAGAAAGCCGCTCACAAAGTCCAGCGCAATCATACTGATGGTGGTTTGAGTCGCACCCCTAGTTCTTCCAGCGATGAAGAAGAACGACATGTGACTGTCGGCCACCCAATAACTGAGGCAGGGACGCATAGCCCACCTCAAACAGATTCTAGCGAGTCAGTTCGTGCCAATGGGAATGGGGCTGCAAACACGGACGAAGAAGCTTCATCGCCAACGGAAAAAGATCCTGCAAAAGAAGGTATCGAGCTCAGCAAGGAAGAGCTGTTCAAGCATCGTGAGTGAGCTTAAGTCTTTCGGCCTGTACTCGTGCTCATCTGTATGTTAAGAGTCGGGTGTAATTATCTTTAACGTGATAGGCGGACATTTGCATAAGAAAGCTCGTCTTGATGTGTTCTTGGATGACACGTATTGGCCTGCTTTTAGCACCCTGAAATCGCGCAGTACAAATGCACAATGGGCGCATGTTGGTGAAGGTTTCGTCAAAGAGCTCGACTTTGGTCGCATCTGGCTACGCTTGAATGAGAGTGGGGACTCCGACAAGGATGACGTTATAGCAGAATGGAAGGGTGATACTAAGGCTTTCTTAGATACCACCCTGGTGAGCCGTCTACCATTCATGTAGATATTGATTCTTATCACCTGCAGGATTGTCGGTCGTCCTTCACACTCACAGATGCAGATGGCCGTCCGTCTACCGTTGAGCTTGAAACCCGCTATGTACCCGTCCCAGTGAAGCTCTTGGCTAGGGAGAGTATCAACAGTAAGCAGTTTGTAAAGCACGTGCATTGTTTACCCCTCTCACTTCTTTGTTACAGACCAAGGCACATTCCGAGTTGACCTTTTAGCTGGAAAAGACCTTCGTTCTGCTGATAGAACAGGTGAGCTTTACTACATGCACATCGTGCCCATTTTAAGACGATACCTAGGCAAATCTGATCCATTCGCTATCTTCACTCTCAACGGCACGAAGGTGTTCACATCTCAAACTAAGAAGAAAAGTCTCAACCCTGATTGGTCAGAAACGTTTGAAGTTCATGTGGTATGCCCATCTGCCATTTATAGAGATATATCTTCCACTGAACGGCATGTTAGCCATCTCGAGAGGCGGCGGACTTTTCCGTTGAAGTTTTTGATTGGAACCAACTCGAACAATCCAAGAGTCTTGGGCATGGTACCGTCAATCTGCGTGATATTGAACCATTCGAGGCCGCCGAACAGATGATTGAGCTTTCCTCGGAAAAGCACGGTGCAAAAGGACAAGTCGCAATCCGATTGCTCTTCCAACCGGAGATTATTATGAAGAGCCGGAAGGCGACCTCGACCTTGACCTTCTCTTCCGCGGGCCGCGCCGTGACTCAGATCGGATCAATACCATTTGGTGCTGGCAAGGGTGTCGTTCGTGGCATTGGTAATGTCTTCAAGAGAGACTTCGGAGGCAGTCATGAAAAATTAGATGTTCCTCACACCATACCTGAGGTTCCTGCTGGCCAGGCATCACGGCCGATAGGAGAGCATAATACTGCAGACGCAGCTACTAATGCCGCTACCGCCTCCGATTTCCCTTCATTGAGTCGCACTCCTTCACTTTCGGGTCCACCATCAGAGCCTGGAACGCTCAAAGTAACGATGATCAGCGCAAAAGATGTGTCTATGGCGGACACTAAACCGTACGCAGTCCTGCGTGTTGGCGACAAGGAGTTCAAGACAAAGCACGGTAATAAGACATCATCGCCAGAATGGTAAGACCTTCCTTCTTGGTTCATGGTTTCGCCTCTCGACCTTTATTCTAGGAACGAGTCTTTCAATTTTGCTGCCAGCGCACACATACCAAGACTGCGTCTCTGGATTTATGACCATAAGACGCTCGGGAAAGATAAGCTATTAGCTGAAGGCGAGGTTGACGTACGTTAAGACTTCCTTCGCCGTGGTATGATTTTACTCATAGATTTCATTAGATCTGGCGGCACATACAAGTTGGTCATTCGACAGCTGCTGAGGTCACCGTCGAGCTTCAAGGCGGCGGACTTGCCCGCCTCCGTCTCGAATTTGATGCAGAGAATAATCCACTAGCACGACACGCATCCGTCGTGTCCCTTGAACGATCGCAGCTACCGGCTTCGTCATCAAGATTCAGCATCAGGGGTCGCAGACCAGGGTTCAACGAGGACAGCTGATTTATGGCGTAAGCAATATCCGACTATTACATATTCAATTCACGATCTACAAACTGCTCGTTTTATGTTTATGATTGTTCCTCATTGATGTCCAAAGAATTTTCCATTTAGTTTTTAAGATATGCTTCCCGTTGTCGGAATTAGCTAGGGGTGGTCCGTGCGAAGCGAATGATTATCAAGTATTCTCTTCCCGCCCGTCGTTCGATGACAACCTGGTGATTGTGAGAGTGTGCTCAACTCGTACTGGACAGGTTGAGTTTACCTGGCTGGTTAAACCAAAGTCCTCCAACATCCTGGACCGGATGCTTGGGACATTGTTTTGTCTCAAGGCAACCAAATAAAATCTACCCCGCGGTGATAACAGACACTGAGAAGCGGCATAGTTAATAATATTTCACAGTATTAGGAAAGATGATACCTCAACATCCTGTAACAAACGATTGGTAATTTCCATTCCATCAGCCCCCCCTGCCCAGGACCCCGCAATATCAGCACTACCCTGAGCACTGGAAGCTTCATCTGTATCTGTTGGCACATAAGGGGGGTTAAATAAGAGTACATCAACTGCGTGACGCAATCGCGATAAGAGAGGTCGCGCCAGCGAGCATGTCACTGGATCTAGAGGTATCTACTGCGTAATTGTGAATTAGATGTAGCTGAAACGTCCGCAAGACCCAGGCTATACCTTATTCTGTTTCCCCGTTGCGAGCGTACAATGGGTGGCGTGTTTGTTTATGTCAGTGCAGAGGTAAACTGGTAAATTGCCAATAAGCCCTGCACCTACTAGAATGATGAATACGAACTCACGAGAAGATGATTGTCCTAACACTTTCCCGAGAAATGCTGACACACATCCTGATCCAGACCTGAATCGCACTCAGCATTTAATAGCATGTATAAGCTAAAACTCACCCGACCTCGAGACAAATCAGAGGACGTTCCTTTCGGAGCGCTTCCGCCTCCTGTTCGAGGGCATCCAGTAACAAGAACGTGTCCTCTGCGAGATAGCTTAGACTACTGGACAGCTTATACATAAGTTCACTTACCTGCTGGGTCGTAAACTTGTTCAAGATCATGCCTAGTTAAATGAGAAAGATCTGGCGTCGGTATCATGATGGCGGCGATAGAGAATTGAAATGATCACGTGGCACGACGCGACTTCGCGTGTGTGGCGCGCCATTATTTACGTGTCCATATTTGCCATTTGAATATTTGAACCTTGATCCAACCAACTTCTCGACTTCACAGAGCCCATCCTTAGCGCTTAGCAGTGGTAATTCGCAGCTAAAATTGCAATATCATGGCCACGAGATCGAAGATTGGTGCAGCACCGACGAGGGCATCGACCCGAACAAAGACACCAAATCCACCTCCGACTCCTCCGGCAGGGATAAAGACCATTCGAGCAAGACTTCCAAGCAAAACTACTGCACAAGCTGAGGTATCAAAAACACGAACAACTGGTCGAAAGCCTCTTGTTAATCGAGCTAATTCACCTGATGCTAAGCTTCCTGCTGCCAAGAAGGTGGCCGGAACTAGGCAAGCACGGGCAGATCACAGTTTGACTGCAGAGCGCGAACCTGTTATGGTGGATTATGCGTACTAGCTTTTTATCATATACTGAGAACGTCCTTCAGGCCTATTTACGCATTCGTCCTCATCTTGGAGATGATGAACCCATGTCTATGCCTTACCTTGCCCCTTTATCCGACACGTCTGTACAGATGACTGATATCTCCCATGATGGTTCAGGCAGCTCCAAACCGCACATTCGTGTCTCAACCGTCACACCTTCGTCAATCTACAAATTCTCGCATGTTTTTCTGCCAGAAACGCAGCAAGCAGAGTTCTTCGCGAAAACTACACTTCCCCTCGTACGTGATCTTCTGGATGGACAAAATGGCTTGTTGTTTGCGTATGGTGTCACAAATTCGGGCAAGACATATACAATCCAAGGAGGCAATGGTCCAGATTCTGCAGGTATCTTGCCGCGGACACTAGACGTGATTTTTAACAGCGTCGAGGGACTGCACAGCGATGGTCGGGTGAGCCATGATTCAATATACACGACCTAATAACTTATCATCAAATTTTCTTAGTTCAGGCCCGTTAGGCTGTACGGTGTAGAAGAAGCTGATCCTTCTGACTTCCTGCCTCCTACGGACCCAACTGATGAACCACGACTCGCAGAAGTCCTTGCGGAACACCTGTCGAACACGGATGACATCGACATCGACATCGATCCAACCATCATTAAACTCGACCGCAACTACGAGTACTCTATCTGGATATCTTACGCAGAAGTATACAATGAAAAGGTGTACGATCTTCTTGCTGGAGTGACAGAGGATACGTCGCGGTCACAGATTCCTCGCTCCAACACCAACGCACAACTTGCCCATCCGCTTCTGCTGACACGTAAAGCCCTCACTGTCAAACCTTCACCTGCCTCTGACGCATTAGATGAGAGTGGACCTGGAAGCGCGGGGAAATATATCGCGGGACTGAGATATTTTCGGGTAACTGGTGCTGCACAAGCAAAGGCACTTGTCAAGCTAGGACAACTGCACCGACGTGTCTTCGGCACACTGGCTAACAGCCAAAGTAGCAGGAGCCATGGTATGGTGACCATCAAGATTCTAAGAGGACACCGGGGTGACCGGGATGTAAGTACGGTATAGATCTTAGAAATACAGTTTTGTTCTTCAACTTTTGCAGGACCCGAGCTCTCTGCAAATATCGCGGTTAACCCTCGTGGATCTAGCAGGATCGGAGCGAACCAAGCACACGCAGACAACTGGCGATCGTCTAAAGGAGGCCGGAAACATCAACAAGTCTCTCATGGTCCTTGGACAATGCATGGAGGTAGGGTGACTATTCTTTTTTTTCCAGCACCACAGCTCACCATGCGTAGGTCATGCGCTCCAACCAAAAGCGCCTCGCACAAAGCCTGGCAAATCCTGGGCGGACCGATACTCGTGATGTTAAGAGGGCATTGGCTGTTGTGCCCTTTAGGCATAGCAAACTCACGGAGGTATTGATGGATTACTTTGTTGGCGATGGTCGAGTTGTAAGTCTTCGGCTTGGAGCATTATGCAAGCAGTTGATAGAGAGCTGATGGTGATAGGTGATGATCGTCAACATCAATCCTTACGATACCGGCTTTGAAGAGAACTCTCATGTAATGAAATTCTCTGCGCTCGCAAGAGAAGTTTCGACGACCGTGAACAACGCACCTGTGCCTCGCGTACAAACTATTCCAAGCAAGCGGAGTACAGTGGGCTCAGCTCTGCCCAGGGCTGTGACCAGAAAGGTGACAATATCGAGTCTTCTCCCCAATAAGAAGGTCAGCGAAGCCCATCTCGAGGTCCTCGAAGGTGCGTTTTTACATTATAAATCGTGCCCTTCATCATTCTGCTACATACAGAGGATGAAGTGAGGGAAGATGGTGTGAGTGAAGAGGGAGATGATGAACCCATCAATCCGCTAGTGGATGCCTTGTTTGATGAAATAGAAGACTTGCGCTTGCGGGTACGATTCTATTATCAAAAGTCGATGTCTGTTCAACAAGAAGCATTTTTCACAGCTCTACGAGGCGGAGATGCGTTGTATAATAGTTGAAGCGGAAACCCGCGAAGACGTTATGAAGGAAATGGAAGAAAGGATGCGCGAAATTGAGAAGACTTACAGCCAGAGGCTTATGAGCGAGGTAAAGTCTGGACCTCGAGGGCAACACATCAACTTACAGCCTTTGTCAGGTGGAGCGAAACGAGCGGAAAATGGATGCCAAGATCGACATGCTGCATCAAGCTGGACTAATTGGCTCCCCTCAAAAGCGCCGAGAGTTGGTGGAGGAGGGCGAGGAGTCAGGTGAGACTGAAGATGAGGTGAGTTCAAGGAGGCCAACGCCCTTGTTGGTTCGGAGTTGACTCCGGTTTAGAACGTAGAAATTATTGAGGATAGCGATGAGTCGGCTCTCTCCGAAGCAAGCCGATCTTCATCACCTCTTGACGGCAAGGGAAAGGCCAAAACACAATTAGGGCTCACCTCCAACCGAATGTTGGGCGCCGATCAAGAGGAGACTAATTCAAGTGCTCAGAGCGAAATCGAGCAAATGACAGAGGAAGAAGGGAGCGTGGAGGACGACCCAATTACTGAATACGATGAGTCCGACGACTTCGCCCCTCTAGCGAAGGCCAAGTCTAGACCATTTAAAATGGCCGACAAGCCTCTGGCGAAAGGGAAAGGGAAAGTAGGGAATCCAACAGCTGAAACTGGTCGTCGATCGACTCGCACTGTGTCTTTGTTGGAGAAGCAAATCAAAGATCTTTCTCTCTTGGAGGACGGCACAGGTGGCGCTGACGACTCTGTTACGATTCTGCCCAATCGAAAGGCACGGGCAGTTTACGGGGGTCCTGATGTTGTATTTGTGCCAGGGAAAGGGGACCTTGATACCACGAAGAAAAAGAAGAGGTGAGATCTGTGCCACGAATTGGACAAAATATTGACAACTCCTCGAAGGCAACTAGGTAAGAAGGCTGTAGTGACTGAGGAAGAATTAGAACAAGTAGTTGGTGCCGTAGAGAAAAATGCGCAAAAGGGTGGAGGAAGCAAGAACATCAGGCGGATGCGTATAAGCTAATGATTGCTGATCTACTCATTTGTTTTCTCTTGGGAACTTCACGGATAATCGTGACTTGTGTACAATAATTGATGCTATATGTTTTGTCCATCTACGCTCGTTTAAGTGAAGTACGTCTGTCGTAATGAAATGGCAGAAATTGCGAAGATACAGTATCTTATATGTAGCGTTGTAGCACAAACGCGTCGGAACTTCCTGATAATGTCATGTGACGAGACGCGTCTAATCTGTATCACGTGAACGTGTTTAGCACAATAGCCATTAAGTTCCACATATCGTTCAACGTTCACAACAACGGTCACCTTTCTTGATTGGCCTTTGCTCGGACGCACACAGCTTGGATATGGCCACTAATGGCGGTAGGGGGTCGCCCAGCAGACGCAAATCTATCGCGGTAGCCAACCAGAACCGACCTCTTCATCCAGGGAAGAAGCGGCGAGCACACTCTATTGCACCTGGCGACAAGATAAATCTTGTTTCGAAGGCACGTCGGTCACTGGTAAGTTGTATGAATGACTACAATTTATTTTTCTTACAGTCCAACAGGCTCCCCGAAAAAGTATCCTCAAACCAGCAGTCAACATTCCTGAGGATGATGAAGATGCCACGCAATCTATGGATCTGACCCATGTTCACGAAAATACGCAAAAATCTCTTGCACGGCGCGTTAGTTTCGCAGACCGGGCACATGTTCGGCTATTCGAAACACAGGAACAAAATACGAATAGCACTGCTTCCCCTCAGTCCTCGCCTGTGCAGGAGGCAGTTGAACGAGGCCCTACGGATGAAAATGCATATCCTGGAGCAAGCAAATTCCATCGCCGAAGCTCAATTCGATCCATCGCTTTCAGTGATGGTGCAGGAGAGGAGTCCATGGATATGGACTCCGACGATACAGCATTTATAATCTCGTCACCAGACAAACATGACGAGGGTGGTCAGCAACAGACTCCTGCAGATCAGTCCTATACTGAAGATGACTCCCACCAGTCTCAGTCATTCGTATCTGAAGGCGATGTCACTCAGCCAATGGAGTTCACTGTTCCACTCATCCGTCCACCAGCCCCACCAAGTGAAGCCTGGCTTGCTCTTCGATCAGTAACTCACTCTGGTGAAACACCATATGTTCCCTCATCCGACGAAGAGGATGAACATGGGGAGCAAGACATGGAGATCACTCATGCTCTCACAAGGCTCCAAGCAGCTCGTGAATCCCTCGGATTTGGAAGCGAGATAGATCTTGAAGAATTTGGACAACCAAACGGCAGTTTCAGTAGCTCTGAAGATAGTTTTGCGCAGGATGATGTGGAAAACGACGGCAACCAGACTATCAACGTCACTCAGCTCATGCGCCGCGTCAGTCTTGGTGCTGGTATCGAGGATGACAATTCTACTATGGATATCACGTCCACATATGACAGTCAGGAGGAGTCTAGCAAGGACCACTTTGACGTCGCAGGCACGGACCTTTCATCCCCTTCCGCACAACCAATAGGTGAGGCTCATGGGGATGTTGC